CTCTAATCAGGAACCCGAAGAAATAATATAGATAGTTATCTAGGCTTCAGATGTTTTATACTTCCGGCCATTTGGAGTCTTAGGGGTTCGGGGGTTCAGAGTTTCTGGGCTTCAAAGTTGAATTCACTGAGAGGCTCAGGAAAAAGAGACATCAGTGGGTCGAGGGCCTAAACCCTGAAACCTAAACCCTCAACGGTATTGTTATGGAAACGGACGGACGCATGCTAGCTTCCAACGCGTCTTATCGCCTCGTAGAGCCCTTGAGCCCCAAACCCGGGTTTAGGGCTGAAGGGTTTAGGGCTGAAGCTTTTGCTGCTCACTAACGGCCAGAGCAGTGTGGAGCGATCTGTTGTTGATCCATTGGTGAACTCACAGTGAAGGAGTTGGAGGGCTGTGAGACGTCAACTAAAGGTGCTGAACCCTGAACCCAACGCCTTCAATCTTAAACCCTCTAGAACCCCAAACCTTAGTAGACCCTAACTACCTCCTCAGACCCGAACCCTAAGAGGTCGGAGATCGCGAGGTAGGGGTTTAGATATTAGGGTCTACGGCCCCGGGACCTGGGCTGTTGCTTCGCGTTCTATTCAAGGTGTATGGCTTAGCATCTCCGCCGTCAGCTTCTTCATTAATGATCTTTGTCGACGGCGTCACGGGAGGAGCAGGATAACCGCCTTGGGATCAGGATCAGTGTCTTCCTTCCCGCGCTCCTCATCCTCGTGTCGCTATCCAAAATGCCATTCTCATGCCTCGATCTTGAGAGTGAGGAGGTGAATCTTGTAATTAATGGATCTCTTCCCATGAGAGCCACATCGACAGAGCCTTAGGCTGCGGCTGGTCTTCAGTGGTAGCGACAGGAACCCCCTTTCTGCGCTCACCGCAACGATTCGCACGTCTTCACCCTCAAGGTCTGGTGAGTGGACGGCTTCTGTTTTCAATGCTGGATGATGCTTGACCTTTAAGCCCAGTACCCTGGCCCAAAAAAGTTTAAACTTTTCTTTTAGTAGGGGTTTAATATAACAAAAAGTTTAAAGTTTACCTACTGGGCTCCTAAGTTGAAGCCTGAAGATCCAAGGTCGGGGATGTAGGGTTTTCAAGCAGACACCGGGTTCGACACGGAGAAAAGGGTACCAACAGCTTTGTATGCAATCCTGTGGGAGTTTTGGGGGTTGAGGGTTTAGGGCTCATCGGATTTATGAGAGTTGTGTAGGGCCGCCATGACTTGTCCAGGATTTTCAGATGGAGGGGTAGACAAGCACCGTACATAAAACAAAACAACCTTCCGAAGCAGGATTCATTTGGGTTCTGTAGGCCGCCTAATTATGGCATGAGATACTTGGGATTGTTTGTCTTAGCAGTGCATGCGACTTTACCCTAAGGCTCCATGTACCCATATAGTAGATACTTAGGCCTTGAAGTACCTATAATATAGGGACCCCTTTAAGGCCTACTGTAAGTACGAGTATCTACTAGAAAGGTACATGGAGCCTTTGGGTTACACGAAACAGCCCAGATCTGAGGTAGGCACGCTCAGCTGAATGGTGCACGTGTCCCCGCGGCCAATGGTGCAGATTCTGCGCAGCGTAGGGTTTCATGGTGACGTGTTTCGGGTGCGCTTCACCCAGATGGCTTATGAAGCTTTATGACTGAACACTTCCAACCACAGACTTGCAAGGACCCGGAGCGGTGATCCGTGCGTGTACCACCCGAACAACCCAAACACCAAGCTCTCTGTGCTATCGCCTAGCAATTGTTCGGACTTTCGGATTCATGGAGATGCCTATGGACGCAATCCCACAGCTAAGTACTTTTCGAAACCCGGGAGGAAACGGAACCCACTATTCCCTGCACAATGTTCGTTTGAGGTTATAGGGTCTCTCTCTCTCTCTCTCTATAATCCTGTCTAGGTCTTCGGGCTAAGAAACAAGAACAGCCACAAGGCGTTAGTAAATCAATCAGGGAGCAAAGAAAGCAATGTGTCCGGCAAGGCCTGTCCGTGACCATGACACGCTCGCCAATGCGTGGGCCCGAGATGAAATCCTAGGGCATTCTTCTTAGGACGTGGGCTTTCTAGCCTTTGGGCTTACGTTGTGCTGCGTCCGAGTTGAGGAACTTCCCAAATTATACGGAGTGTGTAGGCGTTTACAACTTCCACATTGCCTGGAGAGAACATAGTGGGGGGATTCTCTAGGCTGGGTCAGCTAGCCGGCTAGTCTTATTCACTGAGATGCCTTATCTTTGCCAGGCTAAACATCAGAGAGCCATGGATTGAATGATTCGATGGGGTTTCTCGGGCACGCTCTGGTAGCTCTTCAGTGACTGCAAGGTGATGCACTTGACAACTGTTCCACCCTTATACCGTTTATAAGCCACTGAGGCGAACGAACTCGAATTGCACAATCAACCCACACTTGAAGCCCAAACTCTTGCCTCCTGCCTATACCTTATTTTCAGCACCCCCCACACCCCCTCCCTCAAAACAGACACCCCCAACCCCCCGCTTCCAAAGACAAACATGCAAAAACAACAACTGCCCTGAACCCGAAACCGTTTACTCACCGCCAAGTTTCAATCTCCAGCATCGAGGCCGGGAGGGCGATTTCAGAGGGCCGCGCCTGAGATTCGATGCTCTGAAGCTGAATCCCGTCAAACACCTACATTTATCTGTTATTATTTAAGGGTTTCCTGAAAAGATAGGAGGTTAAGGTAAACCTTCAACCCTAAACCGTGGGGCGACGTGTGGGTCTCTACCAGGGGTTGGGGACATAAGGCCAAATCCCACCCGACAATCAATGCAACAACGCCAAAAACTACACCCCCAACCACCCGAAACACCCCCCCTAAGTCTGAACCCTGTAAGTTCGAAACCCCCAAGCCCCATACCTAACCCAAACAAGACAAGCAGAAAACAAACAATAACACAGTACTTAAACAAAAAGCCCAATCCCAACAACCGTAAACCAAGCAAACAAAATCCCAACAACCCTACACCCAAACTCTTCTACCCTAAACCCTAAACCCAAACACTTCCGTGACCGGGACCTCTTCTTGCGTCTTCTCCGGAGCAGGCCTGGCAGGTTCCACCCGCCTCGTCGAAGGAGGATTTCGGGTCTTGGGGTTGGGATTTGGAGATTGGGGCTTGGCATCTTTCGCTTTAGGATTTAGGCTGTAAGGCTTGGTTTTGGGCTTTAGGATTTCGGGCTTAAGGTCTGCATGGGGTTAAGGAGAAGAGGTCTGCCAAAACCTGACATAGGCCCCCGGCTTTTTGGCATTTTCCTGGAAGCAAAATATGATCTGTTTTGGGAATTAAGGGCGTTTAGAGTTCTGACTTCGGGTCTCGCAGATAAGATGTGCTACCCCCCCGCCAAAAAAAGAAAGTTGGAAACCGGATTAAGGACAAATGGTGCTGGGATTCCCTATACATAATTCTTAAGGAAAGAAGCTATTGGGTTTCCAACTTCTGGGCTTCTTATCAGAAGTTCAGGCCTACGCCGAGCACTTGGACAGACTGGTCCGCTGTAGGAGTTTCAGGTGGTACTTCGCACAGGCTCTTGTAAAGGTGCCGAGAACAAGTGGAGTTTCCTTGGAGCCTGGGAGAAATGAACCAGAACCATGACGGATACGGGATCAGGGTTTGTGGATAGGGCCTTGTATTTTCCAGTAACTCTAAACTAAACCCTCAACCCTAAACTGCAGACCCAGAACCATAGCGGCCATAGCGCCTACGGGATCAGGATTTAGGGATAAGGCTTCGTATTTACAATAACCCTAAACCCTCAACCCTAAACTCCATGAACCCTAAATCCAGCAAGAAAGCCACGCCTCAGTGTTGCACCCCCCATGGGGTTGACATCCCTGCAAAGCCTGGGAAAACGTCAGGGTTCATGTCCAAGAATGAGACTAGACTTTTGTGGGTCAATCTACTATACTACACCTGGTTGCGTTATTCTAACGACGTCATGTCATGCACATGGAACCAAACCCGGAGCCTCGTAGACTCTGCAACGGTTAAGGGTTTAGGGTTTAGGGTTTAGGGTTTAGGGTTTAGGGTGAGCAAGTTTCTGCACTAGCATCACATGAAAACAATGCACTGGTCCTGAGCGTCGTCCTTGAATGCTCCAGACCGGTTCGTGGTTCATAATCAACTGATCCCAGTACAAACTATCCACCAATTCCCGCTTCTAATGATTTAGAGCGGCCTTCCTGAGCATGCTTACGACTTAAGAGTTGCTTCACCCTGGACACGGATTCCCAAAACTTGGGCAGATAATCGGACCTTGAACCTGCAAGGTTTTCTTGACTATAACCCGTGCGAGGCCGGTAAGGAGGAAACACAACCACATGACAAAGTGACACTGAGATCAGACAAAAAATCTCGTAAAGTGTTGGACGTGCATGAATGCTGGCGAATACGGCATGCAGTGCTCCCGATGTGTGGTTATACAGCTTGGCAGCTATGCGTATTGCGCACAGGATAATTTCTCTCCCATGCCCCAATAATAGTTATAGTGGGGCTTGGGTGTGCCCTATAATAAAATGGAAGAAACCTACGGAATAAGCTGCGTAACTATGCAGGCTTCTTTATTACACCGAAAGGCTTACGCTTCATGCCGGCTGCAGGATGAAATTATCAACGCGGTCCACATGGTCAGACAAGCAGCCGCTCGAAGGAGCTGGACCTCAGAGCAACAGAGTCGCTGTGACGGCAGGCGTTCAGGTGGTATTCCAGCCATCAGACTACTGACCGGAGCCACGTTCGAAAATGTTTCCCTTGAGAGGAGTTTGGGGTACATTATCGTTGAAACAATGGCATATGGGAAATTTCATATAACATAAGGGGAAGTATGACCAATCAACTGTTCAAGCCCCTATGTTTTTGTTTTGGGTGCTGCGCTCCTTTTGGCGAGCAGCTTCCGAAACCCCAGGGAGAAGGGAATTTCAGAAACTAGAGGAACCTAGCTAATGTAAAAGCTCTAAACAGAAGAATCCTTCTCACAATGTTCCTCCGTTCTCCGGAACACCCGACTGCAGGTCCGCTAAGTTTGGCACAGAACTTGGCAGGCCTGAAGCTTTGTTCAGGCCAACTAATAGGATCCCCAAATGTAGCTGGCCTTGCGACGTGACCATTGGGCAGTACCAAACACAGGGAATTTTGCTGTATTGCGACTGTGGTCACTAGACTGGAACTCCCGTGCGATCAATACACAGTTCCCCTTGGTGTATGTGACGGAATTATCCAAGCGCTCGATGGACCAGACCCAGTCAGCAGGGCCAGGTGCACAATGTAAAGGAACGCCCGAGTAGAAACATCGTCCACCCTGCAACCATAGCATGTCAAGAACCTCATCGAGCTCGAGCATGAAACTTCCAAAGTATCTGCCTGTGGCAGCTCTCTGTCGGGCGCTTCGCAGCAGCGAGAGCGCATGGCCGCGCATTGGTCGAAAGTGCACCGATGACAAGTAAGCCTGACATTTCTTGCACCAACTGTACAAGCCTGTGCTGACCGAAGCACGCTTACTGAATCGCTCTGCCGGCTTCCAGAAGCCACAACTTCCACATCGCCAGTTGTCTTTTGCATCTGGTCCTCGAAACCCCGTGAACCAGCTCCTGCCTGTCCGGGTAGGGCGCAGCCTTGCAATCGCAATGTCTTCCTGCAGCTGCTCCAATGGCACTGGCTGTGCTCGGAGATGTAGCACCTCTTTAACCTTTTCCTCGGACCACTGTGCGGACCCTGCGGAATTAAACTTGTCGTTGCATGGTGTACCTGTGTGCACAGCTGAATTGAACTCGGCAGCAATCAGGCAGCAGTTCCCTCTGACATATCCTTGACGAGTATCTCTTCTCTCGATGGAAACCCTCCAGTGCGAGTTCTGCTTCAGCAGTTCCATCGGTACGCCAGAATATGCACACAGTCCGCCCTGTTGAAGCACGAGGTCCAGCAGATGGTCAGCGTCTACGTCGCTTTGCCTGTCTTTGAGGCGGTCCCTGCGCTGGACCCACCCGGCGACTGTGCGAGCCCAACCGCGAAGGGTCGATCTGTACGCGTAAAAATACTCAGCTTTTGAAAGTCCAACCTGTTTGGGTCGTCGCCTCCACGGGCTCTTTGCTTCGTCTACCATGGCTGCCAGGTGCTCGAATCGTATCGCGCTGGGCGGCTTGTCTTCGGGCGTGAGGGAACAGTAACGTGCTCTGCGTGCTCGCCAATGAGGGAATTGGTATGCGGACTTGAGGATCTGCTTCATGGCTCCCGACGAGGAATGAAGAGATGACCTGACACAGCCGCATTATACAACCTGTCCAAGGCCTGGCGTTGTTACGGAGGATGTCTTGACAATGTGGGCGCACACGAGAACCCACCTGCCGATCAAATCTATCCTAGCTGGCGCGCGCGGTCCAAACGAACCTTCAGAACGGTGAGTGGGGGCTGTGACCTCATCCGCAGCCTGAATGGTAAGAACGCGTGTATTTTTGCGATATAATAGGGAGTATTGCTCGTATAACTCCACCACCACATCTAGAGTCAAATATTCGCTGGAAGCCTTCTCTCGCCTTAGCCACTTTTAAAACCTCCATGCACACTGTGGGCTCCGTGCTTGTCTGGCTAAAGTGGCTGTTTGGAGATAAAGGATGGCGTTGGTGTTTCGATACATGGAGGAAGTTGTTTATGGGGTTTGGGTCAAGCCCCACACCTGTAAAAACAATACGAACCGCAAGCCTGTCAAGTTGTAACCTTGTAGTTGCAAGCACACTAGAGACCCTTCACATCTCACGGTCCAAACAAAGCTGCAAGTGGTACACCAACCCTGAGCCGCCATCTCTGCAATCACAAAATGATCGCACTAGGAACGCCAGGCTGCACCTCTACCTGTCATCATCCACAACTTTGGAGGGACCCTATGGTTCCTTCGATACTATAAAGGAATCATCTGAAGCCCCTACGAAAATCGCAGGGTACACATCGTCGGCGGTAATGATCGGGTCTAAGTCTGAGTGCTTCGGGCGTACAACATGACGATGCATAGCCCTTACCCTGTGGAGGCTACATCTAAGCCCTGTCTGAGACTGTCTGCTAGCTCCAAGATCCTGCATCCGACGCCCGGAACCTGAGTTAAAACTCCCACACACCAAATCCTGCCAAATTCCCATAGGCCAGAGGCCAGGATCCCGGCCAGTTCTTCCGAGTGGAGCCGTAGAATCGGGAGCTGCCCCCAAGAATCATTCCAAGGGCCTTTCAGCAAGAACCCCTTTAAGGCCCATGAGCCATAAGTTCAGGGTTTTAGGGTTTAGGGTTTAGGGTGGAGTGCTCCATGTATTGCCCCACATGCAAGCCATAAGTTTGAAGTTCAGCTTGTAGGATTTCGGGTTTGAAGGTGTAGTGTCGAGTGTCCCATGTATGACCCCACAAGGTTTCAGCTCATGGGTTATTTCAGGGTGGAAGGTCTGATGTGGAAGGTTCTATAATTACTATAGGCCCTATTCTCAACATGTGTGAAGGGTGCAAGGATTTAGACAGGGGGTTGGGACGTGTCCCAGGATCGTGTCTACTGATTACCCAGAGAGTCCATACTTCCTAGCATTATGGAACTAGGTCCCCAAAGACCATCCCTGTTATGGTCTCTGTCTCTGGGAACATAATTCCGTAATAGTAGTAGTTATGAGCCCTCTTGGTTGCCATAGTTGGTCCAGGGAGCAAATGTAACAGCTTCCAAACGTGCGGCATTCTAACTAACCTGGATCCAGATTCACTCCGAAGCCATACACATCCATTGCGGCCTGTGATTTCGGGTCCCAAATCCTGAACTCCGCTCTGACGCAACAGCGCACTACGGCTGAACCTTGACTATTCAGACAATTCCGATTCGAGCACACGCTCAACTAAAAGCCAAGGCAGTCGGAGGACAGCGCCTCAGATTACAAACCTGAGTCTTCGCGGGGATGTCCTCGAAACACTGCCTACTGACAGGACCCCAGGCATAACACCCAGAACCCTGAGCTCTCTCAAACTATAGGCCCCAAAACCCGCAATGCCTTAATCCCTAAACACATGCTCCGACCTTCTCCGCAATCTGTTCGTCCGTAGGAGTCTGATCCTGGTCCTGGCTCCCGGCTTCACGGACGGAGGGACATCGATCTTAGGGTATAGGGTTTTCGATCGTTTCAGGGCTGTAGCAATCAGGGTTGTAGGATTCTGTTCATTGCCTTGGGCTGGAGGATTTAGAGTGGCTTTCGAGTGTTGGGAAGTGCGAGCAGATCCGGGGTTCTTGAGTTTGGCTTGGGCAACTCGGCTGAGGGCTTCTAGGATTTTACTTGAGGCTTGCATTTGACCCTAGGGGTCCAAAGGACCCAGTCAGTCGGTACATTGGATACGGATAGTAGTTATCTAGGTTACTATTTGTGAGACTATATGATTATTAAAGGTATTGGGACCCTGAGGGCTACCGTTGTAAACTTGTCTTGAAGGCGTCGGGTCAAAGGGGCAAGGAACCTGATGGCCCGGGAGCCTCATGGCAAGTAACCTCGCAGTAACTGGGGGCTTCAGTCTTCGGATCTAGAAGCCTTCGGGTCTATGCTAGGTTCCTGAGTGACCCCTAAATAATATAAGGGTGCCCTTTTTCCTAGTATTCTGTTTTAATAAGGAGACCCCGCAAAAAAAAGAGCAAAAGGGTACTACTCAGGAACCTAGTATGGCTGACAGTACATCGAGCTCTTTGGGCTGGAAGGGCTTTGAGTTCCCAGGTTGTGTTCCACCATAGCTCCAGCAGCAGCTTAGCAGAAAACATGCGTGTAGGACCACGGGCATGCAACTAAAGCAGCTGCCGTAACCACTGATGGTTGTATGTAGGTACGGGGGAAGTCATACCACCCTACTACATTAACCACCTGCACCCTCTGCTTCGAACCTGAATCCTAAACCTCCAGACAGCCCACCCAAAGTGGACATTCGTCTAGATCTTAGACAACACATTAACAGTAAGTACTATTTGTCTACTTGCAGTCTTAGGGAACCCTCAGCCCTTCTCGGCTCCTCTGTCCACTGACGCCGCCAAGGCGTGTGTGTCTCGGAAGAGGCCTGATGCATCATAGAACCCGAAAAGCAGTGCAAGCCATACACCGCCCACGCGCTTAGAGCGTAGGATTTGCTGGAGCAACTTCTCACCCCGCAGGTCCTAAACTTAAACCTCACCGGCTTCTATTCAAGCATTCCCACGGGGGACTAGCCGGTGTGGTCAGATTGCAGGCTCGAAGTGTCCATGTAACCTAGGCCTCAAAGTGCTCTGGACGGGGCTCACGTCTCGGAACTTGCCCCTTGGTGTTGGGACCAGAGACAATGGAATTTGAACAGGTGTGTTGACACTTCTTTGGGATTGGACTTGTGGTGGTGATGTCTTTCTTTGGCTAAGGCGATTTAGGGTTTAGCCGGAGGCGTGGACGAGCATACGGCTTTACTTAAGGGTTATAACCTGAAAGCTCCCAGTTCGTGGTTCTGGAAAAGGCAGCAGACAACCCCTGAGCTCGACACCACTTGCGCGGGAGCCTCCATCATCTGTAGTAGTACGGGGCTTCATACGGGATAAGATGCTAAAGCCGATAACTAAACCACATATTCTCCCAAACCCTAACCTGTATATGTAAGTTAAACTGAATGCACGCGAAGCCCTCGAAGAGCGAGTTTCTGAGCTTCCCGCAGGCAAGGTCGAACAGCCTGGCATGATAAACCGACTTTTCTGAGGTTTAAGAGACGATTTCTTTGTTCTTGGTCTTGAGAGAGCAGGCTTTCGGCATCTTTGTCCTTTGGGGATCTTACTTACTCAGGAGCTGGGGAGGTGCTTGGGTTTGATTCGGTACAGTGCATGAACGGGCTGAGGTTGAATTCACCATCCTATGCCGTGTCCTTGACTTCTGATGCGATGGAACCTGCCAACTGTCTGTATCGAACGGACTTCAGCTACTACCTTCTGCTACCATATTTAATTAACACAAGCTGACCCGAAACCCGCAAATCCTAAACCCTATACACCCTGAACCCTAAAACCCAAATCCCAAGCCCCAAAACTCAAAAACCCAAGACCCCAAACCCCAAATCCAAGGCAGCCCCCCCCCCCCCTAAACCCTAAACCCTAAACAAAACCCTAAACCCTAAACAAAATAACAACTCTTACCCGAGCCTGAAGAGCCGAAGACCTTTCGGGCCACTCCGAGGCCGTGCATTCGATGGTTGGCATGATGCCTGTACTCTGGCTTTAGGGTTTAGGGTTTAGGGTTTAGGGTTTAGGGTTTAGGGTTTAGGGTTGTTTAGGGTTTAGGCGGGTTTGGGCGGGGCTCTGGCTTGAAAGGATTGCGTTCAATTTTGAGGTGCTTAGTGTGGCTTCAGGATTCTTGCTGAAGTGCTTGAGGTTTAGGGTATACTTGAAACGGGTTCTTTCAGTGTTGAAGTGCGTAGTGTGGCTTCAGGGTTCATTGAAATTCAAAGTGCTTGAGGTTTGGGGTATACCTTAGGGTTCTCAGGTTTTGGGCTTTGGCTTTTGAGGGTTTAGGGCTCTTTGGGGCTGCTCCGAGCCTCACGGTTAAATGGCCAGCAGGCATCTGTGCATACGAGAAGGCGGTTTGGTCGTCGAAGGCTTGGAGCCGTGAGGTCTGAAGTTGACTTTTTGTCGAGTTTCGGGCGTGGGGCTTGGGAGTTGAGTGTAGTCTCCCCAGGGCGGGGAATTTGTGAACCTAGGATTGCTGAAGAGACACGTTTGCAGTTTAGGCTTGTGATTGGAGTTGAATATTAGCGGTGCCTGTGGCGGTTGCAGCCACCACCACAGAATCGCACCAGCAGCTCAGCGTTGCCGATGCGGACCCAGTCCTCACTATGTGGTTTTTGTGGGGCGGACGGGGGGTGTCTGAAAAGATGTGTCCCCTCGAAGATATTAAGGCTTTCTGTGATACCATGATCTTCCTTCATAAATATGCTTTGGCACGCAAAGCGAACACGACATGTTCATCTAGCGAATCGGCTAAACTCCCAACCGTTCAATCTTGAATTCCAAGCACCAAACGCTAATGAATCCTGCGCTGGTCTCGATTCTCGTGCGCCGACCCATATACTTCTCGAGATTTACGGCCTGGTGTAGGGGCCTTAATAATTAGAATAGGGTTTTGGGGTATAGAATTATACATACATTATAACATGGAACCCCCAGAGCAGTATAGGCATTTAATTAATAAGGCCCCTATATTAGAGGACTTTGAGCTTGGG